ACTCGTTGTCAATAATGTGCTGTTTAATTTCCAGGTGTTTGATTTAGTTTTCTGTTTGTGGTCTGAGAAGATTGTTGATACAATCTCTATCTTCTTAACTTTATGGAGGTATGTTTTGTGGCTCAGCATGTAGTCTGTCTTGGAGAATGTTCCATTCACACTTGAGAACAATGTGTATTCAGCTTTTTGAGGATGAAGTGTCCTGTAGATATATATACTAAGTCCCTTTCTTCCATTTTTTCCCTCAGATAAAATATGTCCTTGCTAAGCTTGAGTCTAGTTGATCTATCAAGAGGTGATAATATGGTGTTGAAGTCTCCCACTAGTATTATATTGCTATCGATGTCTTTCTTCAAGTCTGTGAGTAGTTGTTTTAAGTACTTTGTTGGTCCCTCAATAGGTGCATATACATTTAGTATTGTAAGTTCTTCCTGTTGTATAGACCGCTTGATCAATAAAAAATGATCTTCACTGTCTCTTGTGACCTTCTTCACTCTGAGATCAATGTGGTCTGATACTAGGATGGCTACCTCAACTTTTTTATGGGAGTTGTTTGCCTGTAGGATTGTTTTCCAGCCTTTGACTTTGAGCCTGTGTTTGCTCTAACTATTGAGATGTGTTTTTGCAGGCAGCAGAATGTTGGGTTCAATTTTCTAATCGGTCCTGCCACTTTGTGACTTTTAATTGGTGCATTTAGCCCATTGACGTTGAGAGAGATTATTGCTATGGGTTTTTTCCCATTTTTCTGTTCAAATTTGGTGTATTTGAGGGGCCTGTCTTGTCTTAAAGTAGCCAATTTAGTTGTTCTTGTAACCATGGTTTTGAGTCTATGAAGTTCCTGAGCTGTTGTTTGTCTGTGAAACTGTGTATTGTTTCTTCTGTTATAAATGAGAGTCTCGCTGGGTAAAGTATTTTTGGTGAGGCATTTATTTCATTGAGTTTTTTCACTATATTTCACCACTGTTTTCGGGCCATGAGGGTTTTATCAGATCAATTAGTTGTGAATCTTAAGGATGTTCCTTTATAGGAAATTTCTTTCTTTGATCTTGCCGCTTTCAGAATTTTGTCTCTATCTAAGGTTTTGGTCATTTTGATCAAGATGTGTCTTGGGGTATTTCTATTCGAATTTCTTCTAGCTGGTACCCTTCGGGCCTCCTGGATGTGGTCACATGTTTTCTTCAACTCTGGAAAAGTCGTAGCAATGATGTCTTTGACAGTTTCTTCTTCATCAGGGTTTTCTTCCTGTCCCTCTGGGACTCCAATAATTCTTATATTACTCCTCTTGGCTTCATCATGATCTACTCTTGCCATTTGTTCCTGGATTGTGAGTCTCTTTTCTATTTTCTGCTCTTCTCTGGAGAGTCTCTGGACTTCATCTTTGAGGTCACTGATTCTGTCCTCAGCAGCTGTTACTCAGCTGATGAGGCCTTCCACTTGTTTTTCAATTCTCCTACCACGTTTTTCAGGTCTTACATTTCTGTTTATAATTTTGTTTGCATTTTCCTCATTCCTACCTTCAAATCCTCTTGTCTTTTATTGGCATTGATTTCCATTGTTTCTTTTAGCTCCCTAAGCATCCTCAGTAGCTCCTTTCTAACTTTCTTGTCAGAGAGGTTGTCTAGCAATTCATTACTGTTGTGATCTTCTGGGCTAGCATCTTCAATAAGTAAGCTTGGTGGGCTTCCGCATTGATTTACCATTGTGACCTGTGTGGTTTAGACCTTCACGCTCACTGTTACTATTCTGCTTATAATGCAGAATGAAATGAGCTAAATGAATTATTGGCTAATGTGTTTCTGGTGGTTAAGCTAACCTAGTGAAAGTTCCATCTAAGAAGGTAACTTATGGGATATGTAAGGGGAGAATAACTACAGGGAAGGGGCCTTGTCGCCGGATGTGTACCTGGATGAGTGAGCAGAGGGTGCCCAGAACAGTTAAGCTTTGGGTGGGTACAGTGTGCCTCAATTCCTGTCCCCCACAGACCAACAATGAAAACCGGCCGTTCTCGGGGAGTCTAGTTAGATGTGCAGTCTCCGGAAGGGGCCCTGCTGCCGGGTGGGTACCTGGATGAATGAGAATAAATGACTAAAAAAAAAAGACACTTGCTTGACCAGTGGTGTGACATCTTTGAAGATACCATTAGCTTCAATGTCATGGAGGGTTTTGCCAACTTTGTCTTCAATGTACCTTATGGATTCCGGTCTGATGTTGAGGTCTTAAATCCATTTTGATCTTACTTTTGTACAATGGAGTACTATGTAGTTGTTAGAAAAGATGAAGTCATAAAATTTACATAAAAATGGTACTACATGGAGAGTATCATGCTAAGCGAAATGAGTCAGAAAGAGAGAGACAGACATAGAAAGATTGCATTCATTTGGGGAACATAAAGTAACAAAATAGGAGACTAACACCCAAGAATAACCTAAATAAGTACCAGGAGGTTTACTTCATGGCTTGGAGGCCAGCCGCACTCGCTAGGGGAAAAGGCAGCTCAGATAGAGAAGGGAGCACCAAATAAAGGGTGTTGGGAGGATCCTCCCAGGATGGGAGATGTGTGCTGAAAGTAGACTATAGACCAAACACAATTGCCACTCAATGCCTCTTTTGCAAACCACAGCACCCAATAGGAGAGAGAGAACAAAAGGGAATGACCTGCCACAGAGGCAGAGTGGGATGGGGGGGATGGGGGTTGGGAGGGATACTGGGATCAGTAGTGGTGGAGAATGGGCACTGGTGAAGGGATAGGTACTTGATCACTGTATAACTAAAACCCAAGCACAAAAATTTGTAAGTCTACAACTGTACCTCATGGTGTTTCACTAATAAAATTTTTGTAAAAAACTATGGTATATCTTCACAATGGAATACTACACAGCTCTTAGGAAAATATAAAATTATGAAACTTGCTTATTATTGGATGGACATGGAGAGTACCATGCTGAATGAAATAATTTAGAAGAAGAGGGACAGACATAGAATGATGGCACTCATTTGTGGGACATAAAAATATATAATATGAAATGAATGCTCAAGGAAAGAAGAAACAGGAGTCAGTAGGATTGGCCCACGATTGGAAGCCTGCCTCAAGCATTTTCATTACCTGTAATGGCAACTACATTTATCGTTTAATAGAAGAAAGGACATTGCATCAACCAAATTAATACTCTGTTTCTTCATAAGTTCAAGCACTTCCTCAATTATTATCTGACTATAAATTGAGACGAAAGCCCCACTCCCTCCAATTATCTGTTTTGGAATTTGCACGTTTTGTAGTTACTTAGGACCAGAGCTGACTGAGGATATAAATGTGCTCTGTCTTATTCTGCAATCTGCACAGTATCTTCAGACTTGCTGCTTCTGCCTATGCAAGAAAATTACTCTTCCTTTTTCAGATTATTCTGAATTATCTTTTCAAACATTTTCAGGACTATGAAACAAAAGTCCATTGATAATCTCAGATGACGTTTAGATGTGCCCTGTTTTCAGAGAGGTCTTCTAGGAATCTTAAATATCAAATAAAAGTATCTTTAAAATATCAAATTCATTCCCCATATGGCCACAATTATTCCTGAATCTGGTAAACTTATTATGAACATAAACCATCTGGCATCACACTCATTTCCTTGTATTGAGGGTTGATTGAGGGTCTGTCTGATTGCCAAGAGATACAATACCAAATGCAAAGGCCACTTTCTTCTATACAAATTCGTTGCTTTGAAGCAGACTTCATTAAGATGAAGGATGTAGCACTAGTGTGAAACTACAGTGAGAGTGGATAACATCATGCTCACAGAAAGCTGCTGGAGTCTTTTACTTTGAAATGTACTTTGCACTTCTGGGATAGAAAAACTCCAAAAAATAAATCCTAAAAAACTCTTTATAGGTAGATGGCACATTTTTTAACTCATTCCTACAAAATGGAAGAAATGAATTTTTACCCAGGATAATATTCCAGTGCAACCAAAATTCACTTAAAGCAAATCAAAAAAAAAAGACATTGCTATTGTAATAAATAACTCATACTAACATCATAAATTTAAAAATGAAAATATAAAGCCAATGGTCCCTTTTCAGTTATCTCTGTATTTTTAAATATAATGTGGTACTAACTTCTTAATCATTTGGTTGGATTGCTTTCTCGTTGCCTACCAAGACACAATTAATTATTATTCAATACTCTCAATTACTGTTACAACAGACCTAAAGGTGCTATTCAATTTACATGAAAAGGCCCACTGCTATTCTGTTTTTGGAGTTCAGAGAACTTCTGCGTGTTTTCTCCTCAATTTCTTTGTTTGCTTTCTTATTGTGCTACATTCTACCTTCAAGATATCCACCTCCAACAAGTGTCCCATTCCCAACGATTTTTGTCTGTTCCTATTAGAAATACATGTCAAATCAATGTGGTGATTTGTCAGTAGTCAGAAAGTGAGGACCAAAGACTTTGTCTTCCCATTTTGTTTTCAGATTCAAAGTTGCATACATGGACACTAAACCAAGGATAGATAGATAGATAGATAGATAGATAGATAGATAGATAGATAGATAGATAGATAGATAACAAGAACATAGTTAAAATAGTAGGTTCTAGAGTTTGACTGTCAAAGTTCACATCCCACTGTGACTGAACTGTTAGTTTCTGGGCACATTAACTCAATCTCCCGAGCCTGTATCTTTATCTGTGTAGAGGGTATATAATAGTACCACCTTATAATGTTACATTGTGAGTTTAGGGTGTGCTATGAAACACTTTAAAAAGTTCCTGGCTCGGGGCTGGAGCGATAGCACAGCAGGTAGGGCGTTTGCCTTGCACGCAGCCAATCCGGGTTTGATTCCCAGCATCCCGTATGGTCCTGTATGAGCACTGGCAGGGGTAATTCCTGAGTGCAGAGCCAGGGGTAACCCTTGTGCAGCAGGTGTGACCCAAAAAGAAAAAAAAGAGTGCCTGGCTGATAGTAAATATTAAATCAAAGTTGTATTTCCTTTTATAAAAAAAAAACTGTAGCAGTATTTAGTATCTACAAAAACCAAAACCACTCCATCTGTTTAACAATATCCTGACTGAATAGCTTCTCTTACTGTTACTAAAAAAAAATAATGACACTTCCTTGTCATTATCACCATGCCAACAGTGCCCCAAGAACTGTCAGAGGAAAATTGCACTTACATTACTGGAGCTTGGGAAGTTGTGCCTCAGTTTCCTCCTGAGAAATCTGGTGAATTCAGGTTACCACCAAGCTTGTGCAATTCCTAGTCTACAGAGCCAAAGTTATATTTCTAAATTAAGTATGTTAATATACTTTTACACAGATATGAGGAAAACTACTGGAAATTTTTTAAAACACAGTTCCCCCAGCCTTTTTTATTTATGATCACACATAAATTTTAAACACCTGCTTTTTGCAATGCTTCGCACTAAGTGATATAGAGAATGCATGACCAGAACGAAGGAATTTCTTGAATAATGGTGTGGTTTTCAACCTTAGGTGCAAAAGTCGTGAGAGAAACTATGAGTATGAATATACATTACAAACATTCTCATAATTAGAGGATTATTGTCAGTATGATGACTATAAAATGTTTTGATTGTGTTAGTTAAATTTTGTCCTTAAGTAAGATAATATAGTCAAACCTATAAAACTATATACCAGGTGATCTTAGTGGTCTTTGGTAAAAATAACTCAATGTAATCTGTGTCCTTACTTTTGTAAAATCAGCTTGAGGGTGTGTGGCAGTTGAGTTCTGTTGAGATTTTTAACTCACAGGCAAAAGGAAGGATGCATATAAAGAAGTGTGGGAGGAAGAGTTAGTAAAGGAAATGGATGAGAGTCTTCACTTGCTTACTCAATGACGCTGTAAAGTTTACATTGACCATCTGGCTGTTTTGTTTGTTTGTTTGTTTGTTTGTTTGTTTGTTTCTGGGGTCAATCTATCTGGGGCCAGTCTATCTTGGGCTAATCTATCTTGGGCCAATCTATCTTTGCCTCTGGCTGTTTTTAATAACAGATGGGGATCCTCATAACTCTCACTTTAATCATGAAATGATTCTCATTCAAGAAAAAATACTGGACTCATTAGTTAAGAATTGGATTGTAAAACGAAGAGGTTAAGAGGAATGTTTGTGTGATTTCCTGCTTTATTTCCATCGTGTACTGTGTCTAATAAAGCATATTGTCCATTTTTAATGTACACAGTTGAAAATGCTCAGTTTAATCAGAAAACAAATGGGTGAGAGTAGAATAACCTATTATCTTTATATTTATTTATCAAAGAAGAGAAGCAAGCAAAAAGTTACACCCTCTTTATTTGCTTTTATTCAGTTATACAGTGTTTGTGAAGTTTATCTTGCTTTAAAGGCCCTTAACAAGGGCCTTCCTACTTTAATGCTACTGCAGAACTGACTTCATGGCTATGAAGTTCCGAAACTAATGTTTGTCCATGAAATTTGTATTATTATTTAAAATCTAATGATAATCTATCTAGATAAAGTATTTTTTTTAGGTTTTCACTTTATTCAGCTTTTTACTACATCCCACCATTCTCTCCTGGACCATAAATTTCATTTGATAGATCTGCTGTTAATCTTATGAAATTCCTATTGTATTTGAGTTCTGCTGCTTGCAGTCTTTTGCCTCTGTCTTTAGCTTTTGCCATTCTGGTAAGATGTGTCTTGGACACATTTTTTCTATTTGGGTCCATGTTGGGTGGGACCCTTCAGGCCTTTTGAATCTGGATGCATGTACTCCTCAGCTCTAAAGAAATTTTATCTGTGTTTTTTTTTTTTTTTTGCCCTACTAGTTTTTAATCAAATTTGGCTTCATATTCTTTGGGGATTCTTGTGTTGCTTCTCCATCCCATAGTTCTCTGCTTTGCTGCCCATTTCTTTTTAGAATTTCTTCCATCTTCTGTTGTTTCTAGAGCTAACTGCTTCCTACCATTAATCATTTTCCTTTAACTATTGTTACTCTGCTGTTGATATCCTTTTTTTGAACTTTTTTAATTTCACCTGATGACATCATTTTGCTGATGACATTGTTCTAATAACACCATTAGAACATCGCCAAGCAGCACAAATGCTGGCCAACTTCAACCATGAGTGTGGAAAGGTCAGACTACAGCTGAATCTCACAAAGACAATGGTTATGAGAAACAGACTCATTCCTGACACTCCATTCGCTCTCAATGGAACGACCATCTCTGAATGCAACAGTTATGTGTACCTAGGTCGAGAAGTCAGCATGATGAATGACATGGCACCTGAGTTGCGCAGGAGGAAGAGAGAGGCTTGGAACGCCTTCAAGAGCATCCAAGAAATAGCTAAGAGGATGAAGAACCTCTGGCTCCTGGCACATCTCTTCGATTCCACTGTTCTTCCTGCATTAACATACGTCTCAGAGACCTGGGCCCTACGAAAATAGGATGAGAATGCTATTCGGGTCTCCCAAAGAGGAATCGAAAGAGCTATGCTTGGAATATCACATTTCACTCAAATGAGAGAAAGAATCCGGTGTTCCAACCTCCATCCATGATCAAGAATCAGGGACACTGTCTCGTTTGCCAAGACATCAAAAATCAGATGGGCTGGACACGTAATGAAATTTGGAGACGACCACTGGGCTAGAGCCGTTACCGACTGGATTCCACAAGACATCAAAAGACCACGTGGCTGCCCACCTACCAGATGGTCAGACTTCTTCATCAAGATCCTGAACGATCGATTTGAGGCTGTTCGTGTTCCTAGAACGAGCAGACGCCATTGGGCTACACTAGCACGCGACAGGGACAAATGGAGACGTTACTGGTGCCAGCTTGAGCAAATCGATGATTAATGGGAAGTCAAGTGATCAAGTGATCAAGTTAATTTCACCTACCATAAGCTTCAGTCTTGTCACTTTGGGTGGGAGGGGGTCACACCTGGTGGTGCTCAGGACTTATTCCTGGCTCCACACTCACACGCATCACTCTTCACAGGGTCAGGAAACTATCTGTGAATACCAGGGACTCGGTCTGCTTTGGTCACTTGCCATTGTACTGTTTCTTCAGCCCCTGTCACCTCTGATTTTAGTTTTTCTCACTCCTGCTCTCATACTTTCTTGTATCTGCGCCATTGTTTCAGTCTATTAAGCATGAATTGTGTCTATAAAGTCATTATCTGAGAGGTTATAGAGCCAGCTGGTACTGATATGGTCTTTGGGGCTATTATCTTTAGTCCTTGGGTTTAATAGCCTTTTTCATCAGCTTCCAGATTGTTCCTGCTGTTCTCTGGAATCTTTCAGTTTACTCCAATTTGAGCACTTTTTGTCACTGGATCCCTAGAATCAGTTAAGGGTATCCATGGAGACATTGATGTCATCAGTGAGAAGTTAAAGAAATAGAAGTAGGCAGCCACTGGGCTCAGTATTCTGGGAATGGAGGAAAACAGGGCTTCATCTGATCCCTTCCAGGTCTGCTAATTGGCTAGGCTGCAGAAGCTGCAGGAAGAAGCAGGCAGGCAACTGTTTCTCCTCTGGTCATACAGAGTTTACTCATGGCTTCTTATGCCTGCATGTGGATTATATTCATTTAATATATTCATCTTAGCACTCTGCATACTAGAATACCACAGACTGGGTCATTTGATACACAGAAATTAATTTTCTCACAGTTCTAGAAGCTGTAAATCCAAGATCATGGGGTCAAGTGGGTTAGTTTCTCCTGAGACCTCTTTCTTTGACCTACTCATTTGATTCTCATAAGCTTTTTTATGTGTGTTTTTTATGTACCTTTGTTTCTTTACCTCTTTGTAGAATGACACCAGTTCTATTATTTTAGGGCTTTCTCTGATGTTTCATTTAACCTGACTTATCTTTTTAAAGACCTATCACCGACATAGAATGACTACTCATTTGTAAGGTAAAAGGTAAAGGTAAAGGCCCTCCCGCTGATCGTCGATTTGCTCGAGCGGGCCCAGTAACGTCTCCATTGGAGACTTTGTTGTTACTGTGTTTGGCATATCGAATACTCTCGGTAACTTGCCGGGCTCTCCAAGGGGGCGGAGAAATCGAACTCGGGTCGGCCATGTTGGCCACTTGTAAGGCGAATGCCCTACCGCTGTGCTATCACTCCAGCCTCATTTGTAGAATATAAAATATCATAATATGAAACTAACACCCAAGCTCAGCAGAGATAAGGGCCAGGAAGACTGCTCCACAGTTGGAAGCCTGTCTTATAAGCTGGGGGAGAAGTCAGCTGGAATAGAGAAGGGATCACTAAGTCAATGACGGTTGGAGGGATCTCTTGGGATGGGAAATGTGTACTAAAAGCAGATAAAGGGCCAAATATGATGCACTCTCATTATCTGTATTGCAAACCATTATACCCATAAGTAGAGGAGCCTAAGAGGAAAATTGTCTGCCATAGAGGCAGGAGAATGGGTGGGATAAGGAGTGGAGGGGAGGGATATCAGGGACATTGGTAGCGGAAAATGTACACTTTTGGAGGGATGTATTGTATGACTGAAACTCAAACATGAAAATTTTGTAACTGTAGCTCACGGTGATTCAATATGTATATATTGAATATATTGAATATATTCTATATATTGATATAAAATACAGTCACATTATGGGTAGGGATTCAGCTTAAATTTGGGGAATGTGGGACCATGTTTATTCCATACACTCAGTAATATTATAAAGCACATAGCAAAGGAGTCTTTCCTTAGCAACCAAATCAGGAAAGCTGATAGAATCTATAAAAAGGAGTAGAACACTAACACAAAGAAACCACCTGCTAGTGTCATGGATAAAGGACTGTGAAATGGCATGGTTTTCTTGATCACTTGATCACTTGACACTTGATCGCTTGACATCCCGTTACTTATCGATTTGCTCAAGCGGGAGCCAGTAATGTCTCCATTCGTCCCTGTCATGTGCTAGTATAGCCCAATGGCGTCTGCTCGTTCTAGGAACACGAACAGCCTCAAACTGATCGTTCAGGTTCTTGACGAAGAAGTCTGACCATCTTGTAGGTGGGCAGCCACGCAGTCTTTTGACATCCCGTGGAATCCAGTTGGTAACGGCTCTAGTCCAGCGCTTGTCTCCAAATCTCATTATGTGTCCAGCCCATCTGATTTTTTATGCCTTGGCAAACAAGACAGCATCCCTGATTCTTGACTGTCAACAGAGGTAGAAACTCTGGATTCTTTCTCTCATTTGAGTGAAGTGTGATACTCCAAGCATAGCTCTTTCGATTCCTCTTTTGGAGACCCGAATAGAGT